CGATTGCAGAAACGTTGTAGTATACATTTATACAAATACCTAATTTATTCAGTATATTTAATGATATGCAAAACAGAAAACTCGCTATATTTATTGTTTGTTTCATTCAATGAACGTCAAAATATTTTATTCTTGTGTTTTACATCCTACAGATTATAAATCAATTGGTTTTGAGGGTTAAAAAAGTAAAATTGCAATATGCATCTCATTAGGTATTTGTATAAATGTATAAATGTAAACTACAACGTTTCTGCAATCGAGTGTATATATAACACAAATATAACCAAAAAATAATATTATTTATTCACTTTCTAAAACTATCACGACCTGTGTTTGAAAAGGCCTTGATTTCTTGTGACGTATAGAGAAACCAAAAGCGGGAAACGTTGACGAGTGTCAACCAAATCTGGCGCCAAATCATTGGGTAACACAGGACACCCATGACTTATCTAAATCCATTTCTAGGCGTCAGTGAGTCTCATAAAAAACATACCTTTTGTTAGTGACAATTAATCTTCCCATGGCACGATCGGTTCTGATCAGTGGCGATATCATAACGAATGACTAACAAACAAACAAAGAACAAATGAATTATTATTATTAGATGGGTCACAGGCTTGTCAGCATGTTGAACTGTTATTTGTGTTATAGTCGTCGTCTGTACTGCTGTGCTACTGCTGCTACTGCTGCTGCTACTGCTACTGCTGCTGCTACTGCTGCCGCTACCTCTACTGCTACTGCTACTGCTACTGCTGCTGCTACTGCTGCTGCTACTACTACTACTGGTGATAGCTAATGTTTTTAATTCGGTACCTCTCCTGATTCCAAGGTGACTCCATTCAGATTTAAGCCTTGTGCTTCACGGTCAGTCTATCAAAGACAGACATAACATACACAGTCAAACAATGTTGACTTTATTTCATTAAACAGACAGACAGTACACTAATCAAGACAAACTCACCTCGCTTAAAGCCTCATAGAAATGACTGAAGACATCAGGATCAACAACTGCTGGGTCAAGAAAAAAAGAATAAAAGATTTTAGGAATTATTACATGCGTACCTCAAGATGTCATTAACTACACTTGTCGCGCGGGGACTGGGCAATCACCCACAATGCAATTGGGTCTTGTCACACCCTCCCCTCCCTCTAAAAATAAACACAGGTCTTTATTTCTCTAATTGTATTGAAAGTTTGTTCCTATCTAAAGACTTGCCGTCAACTTGTCTGTACAAGGTTAGTACTTCGAAGAGCTTCTCGGCTGTTGCTGAACTCGTTGCAATCTCCAGCATTCCCACTCGCTTCTTGAACATTTCTTTGTCTATCACGAATAATGATTGATTGACAAGGTAAGTGCATTCAAAGACAGACAGACAGACAGACAGACAGACAGACAGAAAAAATGAAAACAAAGTCATTTGATGTGTTTACCGAGAGGACTCGTGGGAACTGCTGACGTCACCACTTGTTTTCTGAGGAAAAAATCAATCATTCGTAACAAAAAATATTAACAAATGAAGTCTGGTTCAGAAGGTACCCAACAATACGAACATACCTATCTCGACGACTATTCTCCACCTCCTATGGAACGAACATACAACAGATAATTAAAATATTCATATTAGAGTGCACGCACTAAACCAGTGAATAATATTTAGCATTAATTAGTACTATTTCATACAGAATCCTTGGTTTTCTATTGTTTAGTTATCACCATTTAGTACTAAAAATTAGTATTTGTTTCACGGTTTTTCGAGTCACAATTTCATGCACATTCCATTGTTTTCTATTGTTTAACTAGCACTATTTTGTACTATTTAGTAATTAGTGTTTCACAGATTTACTGTGGTCACTTTAGTGCGAGCACTCTAATCAATTCATTTATTAATTTTCGAAATTTATTAAAATATTTTGTATAAGTGATAACATTTGCTCTGATGATCAACGGTTACCTTTGTTTCATTTCTCTGTAGATACGAAGCCGCAAGTTCGTCATCCTTCTCACGACGATTCACAAACGAACAAAGTTCGACTCCTGCTTCGCCGTTTATTTTTGATTTTACTTTTTCACAGTTTTGTTTTCTGTACTTTTTTCGCACGGTTTTTAGTCTATCCRTAATACAATGTCGTCCGTACTTGTCTTTCAAGCCGAGAAAGAACGTCTTATTTTGCAACGTTTATATCCACGAGATTAGAAACACTTCCCGTCGAAGATCGATCAGCCAAAACATAACATGACGTAATGGGGAACCCCCTTCGGCAACATTCATAGTTCGAGTAAGAATAGTAAAAGTGCTTCAGCAAGCCAGCCAGAGGATTCTTTTTTTCTCTCTAAATAACTCCATACTTTGCTAATGTTATTTAGAAATGATATCATTTTCGTAAACGTAAATTCAAAGTTAAGATGGAGCATGTTTCGTGACATGAATGCTTCCGAGGTCACTGTGTAAGCGAACCCAAATCCTTGACAAGCTGGTACTCGTTCAAAATCAATATTATAATGAGAAAATGATATTTGACATTTAGAAAGTGAAAAGTTACCTAATCAAATTTTGCTGGTCATGTGGAATTCTTTATTCGTACCTTTTTCTTGTACTTTATTTGTCTCGCTCTTCCAAAGAAGCTTTTGGTTTGAAGAATAGCTTCTTCTTCTTTTGTTAATTCTGATAGAACATTTTCAACGAGGCTAAAAAAAATATCGGGAAAGAAAAGAGATAAGGATATGGAAATACAGAAATATGAACAGAAATATCTATTTTGAGCTGTTTTTAATGAGCTGTTTCAAGAGATCTGATGTATCGGTTATAAATAACTTTGAAATGGCTTTCTAACCGGAATAAACCAGTTTTCCTTCCTTATTGCTCACCTTGATGGGAAAAGCTGCACATTTCTTGAAGAAACGGCAAAGAAATCTTCAAGGCCCTAGTAGAAAACAAGCAAACTATAACACTGAGTTAAGAACAAAGAAATGAATAAAAGAAAGAGTGAACGGGAGGGATAGAGGAAAAAAGATAATGGATGCAAGATGTGAAAGGAAAAGAAAGGGAAGGAAAGGGAAGGGAATGAAAGCACAGCACAGCACAGCACAGCACAGCACAGCACAGCACA